TAGCAATTCTTAGTACTAGCGTGCCTCTAGGACTTAGCAGAACTCAAACAATATATATACTTAAAGTCTTGGATAGCTCTCAGAGCTTTTTCAAATTGCTTTCTTCCACTTTTTGATGGAGTTATTGTGCCTTTTGTTTCTCTCTACAGGTATCCCTTTTTATAGCCTTATTGTTCTCAATTTACTTACAATTTTGACGATTTAAGAGCCCACAAACGTGGCAACAAAACAACATACAACTAAGCCCTAGCTACATTTCCCTCTGCATTGGTTGCCTTAGCTACATGACACATTTTGCCCCCTCGCCGCGCCCAAATGTCAACAATGTGGAGACTAATTGAAGTTGATATGAAATAGAATAAAATCATGATGAAGCTGACCGCAATAAAGTCTTCCGATCTAGTTCACAGATACAAAAACAAATGGGCGACAGAAACGGAAACAGAAAAGACATACTCGCCTTCGTAGCGCTCCGCTGTTAAATGGGAAATTGTGCATTTTGAAATCTGGCCAAGAGGCAAGTAGAAATGAAAATAAAAAGTAAAGAACATGCTCCACATACTTTCGTTTGACACGTTAAGGGTGTGGCAAGGGGCAGCCGGGCAGTCGGGCAGCCGGAGAACGTTAGTTCAGTTCAGTTCAGTTGTTGTGGAAAGCTAAATGAGGCGTGACATAGAAAATGAGGCACAGGCCGCACGCTAAAGACACACACACTTGGTAATTGGGAGTGCACCCACAACAACAACAACAACAACAACAACAACAATAGCAACAATAACAATAAACAAACGCGAGAGCAGGCATTGTGCCCAAAAACAAAGAGTCCGTGAACAGACAAAACAAAGAGCGCATGTTTATGCGGTGAAAAATTGAAAAATCTCATGAAAAGCTTAAAAAGAAGATTGGCAAAAAAAAAACGAAAACGAAATGCAAAGCCGCCAAAGCAAACGACACGCTCGCTGGCCACACAGACAGGCAGACAGCAGGAGAGAGAGGGACAGGGAGCGGGGAGTACAAAGCACAAGTAAAAGCAAGCACGACTAGGCATATACCCTATGTCCACGACACGCTCGCTGGGGCCACACAGGCTGACAGACAGAAAGAGACAGATGTAGCAAGGCAGGAAGCGAGAGAGAAATAGAGAGAAGCTATAGAGCATGCCCGACTAGGCACATACCCTCTATCCAATTCCGTAACATCTCTTTCACCCAAGCGAATATTCATTATTGAATAACTCGAGTATTTTATAACCGATTGTAATGATATTTTTAGGACCTAAAGCTGACATTCAACTGCGCGTATATTTCATCCAACTAAACGGAAATATCCCTTAAGCAGAGCATTTCTCAGCTACGTGTACTTTGTCTTACTTTCGTCTGTTGCATACATTAGCACAACAGCAAAAGAGCCCATTTTAATCAATATCAGTGTGTACAGGGTATAATAAAACAGTGTGGGAGACGAAGGGTCACACAATTAACCCTTCCGCAGGCGCGAGGGCAATTCAACAATTGCTTTGATGTCGCTTTTGTGTTGTGCCGCGTTGTTGAGCTTGGATGTTGGGTGTTGGGTTGTTTATGCTCGAGTTCGTGTTGTTGTGCTCCATTCAACGTTTGCGTGGTGTCTGTTGCCAGGTTCAATTGCAGCTGGCTTTAATTAGCTTATGGACAGAAAAAAAGAAGCGATATGCAATGAAATTAATCGGTTATGCTGTAATCGCATTTATCCCCTGCTTCCCACCTTTCAAACAACCCCAGCCCCCTTTATTTGGGGCATGGTGAATGCCCAGAATCAATCATGTATAGCGAAGCGTACCCGATTCCATTACAGCCGGCTTAACGAGATCGCCAGCTAGTGAAGCGTTAAGCTGCCCTGCTCTCCCCCTCACCCCCGTCATTATTTACAGTAGCTATTTTTAAGCTTTTCCCAGGTCCGCCCCAGAAGATGATCTCGATTGAAACAGAAACACTTCTCTGTTTCGCTTTTTTTCTTTTTGAAAATGGAAAGTATTCTTTTTTTTCACATACAGTAAAGCCCCAAATCCAAGCAAATTCAGGGCCTACGGCAGCTCTTCAGCGTCTGGCCACACTGACCCTCCATCGGCTGGCCACACTGACCGATGCCGCTGCAGCACATGATGCACATGTTGCACGTTCCACAGCAGCTGCCACAACGGCGTTGATCCCGGCAACCGGAGCGTGGCTTGCACCAGTTACCAGGCGTACAACCCAAACGGTTATGGGAACTGCGTGAATACGTTCGAATACAGCAGCGCATCTTGAGGGCTGTCACAGGGGTATTCAATCATCAAAATATATGCTTTTTATAATTGTCAGTTACTCACATTTGGGGCTTTACTGTTTGGCGAAAACTGAATTTGACAGGCGAAGATTGTGATAGTTATTTCAAAAAATTATACACTCCTAAGTTGTAGATTACAAAGCCTTCTTCTATAACCCTAGAGAGAAGTTACCAATACGTATAGCATATAGAAAAGAATTCTGTATCTATCATAGATAAAGCCTGCAATTTATTCCACTTTCAATAGACTGTTAATATCTGCACGCCTTGACTAGCGTGAATGTCGGCTATATCAAGTCAAAATGGCAGAAATTTTAAAAAAAAGCCAACTGCACACATCCCGATATAAAATCAATAATCGATAACACACAATCGATTAAGCATACGCACACGTTAAGCAATTACAGATTCTGGGCATGTTATATTTAACGACTGTTAAACGATGCGAACTAACTTTTTTGTTACAATGTATTTCTGTTAAATGTTCACAAGGTATAGTCGATAAAAACATATGTAAAACGTGCGATATAGATTAGCGACAACAGCTTTTTAGCTTTACGAGCGTTTATAGTTTATTTCGTCATATATAATTCTGCGAATATGCAAATCATTCGACAACAATTTCGAGCTGAAAGTGAAATTTTCTATTATCAGTTGCTTAGAACACACACACACACACACACGCGCACCCGCACGCAAAGCTGTATGAGAGCTGGAGAGAGGCCCACTAATACAGACATAAAAACGATCTGCTTAGTTGTTGGCATAGCAAGCGCTCGTCTTCGTTCGGCTCTACTCGGCTTGAGTCGACTTGCCTCTGCCTCTGCTTTTGGAGAGAAAGACAGTGATAGAGAGAGGGAGGGGAAGCGGGAGAGCTGGAACCAATGGGCCAAGCTCGACTCGGCTTGGCTTGACTCGGCTCGACTCGGCTTGGCTTGTGCAGCCTCGGGCTCTGCTTTTGGGCTTTGCTGCTGGACGCTGAGCGCACCTGTCTCCCCAGAAACGCGCGACGCCCGCGCCATCGATTAGCGGTCGCACCTAGAAGAAGCAGCACACGCAACAGCCCCCGCTCGGCATATCCCAACGGTAAGTCCGTGGATCGCTTGGTGAGCAGCAGCAGCAGCAGCCGCCGCAGTCGCAGTCGCCGCAGTCCGCCGTTTTTCAAATGCTAAAATTGGCGATTAGTCAAAATGATGTCACCGAGTTATTTTGATTGTTTTTCATATACGTATTTATTTATTTATTTTGCTTTGCTTTGCTTTTGGCATTTCGTTGACTTCGAAATGCGCCCAGTTCCAAGCGAGCCCATCAAATTCAGCTTAACGAAGTTCACAGACACTTGTAATTGGATACGGATAACGGATAAAGGATGGCACGAATGAAGATGTCATATGTGGCATCACATTATGTATGGCATTTTCTGAGTACCTGATTGGAGTTTAGTTCATGTTTCCAATTAGAAAACCAAGAATGTAAAACAGTTAATTTATGAAACTTTAACTTAAGACAGAACCGAGAGAGAACACCTACATGGGTTGATTTAACGATCATATCATCATATGTCTTTATAAGGTCTGATGGAAAAGTGTCTAACAACTGGAACTGTATACTATGTACAGTACAGTAGATGCTCGCAAAGTGAATACTCTAGAAATTCAAACATTTTTGTGAGTAATATTTTCTGAACACACTTGAGATTTGCATTTCTTGACAACCTTTGGTAATTTGTTTATAGAAATCATTTAATTGTTTGCTTATTGGAAACAGCTTTTGACTTAAGGCGTTCCACATTGCGAGTTTCCACAGTATCATATTACTTGTGCCATTTAGGGAGTAAGATCTGATCTAATGCACTGAGCCAAGCAGACATTAAAAAAAAATTAAATAAATGACAAGCCAGGGCAGTGTCCGACTTGCAGATACCCTAAACCCAGCGGCAAACTGATTTAGCATATATTCAAATTTTCTTAAACGGACATTCATAAACTTTTAAAAGTCAACAGCCACTTCATCTAGTGTTGTAAAGCAGTCGTAGTATGAGACATATATGTATTTAGGTTTTTTTTTATAAACTGAAGTTGGGCACTCTGGCAAAAGAAGAAGAGAGCACGAGGTGACGCCGACTCATAAAATTAATAAGGAAAACGAGAAAATGCCAATAAAGAAGATTATAATTGCAGGACCGAAAGAACTTGGCGTTGTGGCTGTATGCAAAAACCAATATACCCTTTTTTAAGGGTATAAAAAGCAACCGCAAATGAAAGCAAAATAATAAAAAGACAACTCATTAAATTACGGAATGCCTTAAAAATAGATAAAAACAAAGTATGCGGATTGAGCAAGGGGCGCGGGAAGTTGGCAAAATGACAATTGATATGCTTAAGTAAATAATTAAAGTCGATTGCCATCGTTTAATTTACAAGTACAAGCCACAAATAAATAAAACTAAAACGAACACAAAAATGCGTAAACTAGTCAAAGCCACAGGGGAGAGAGGAACGTGGAAAGCGGGGGGTGTGTGAAATGAGAGCAATGGCTTCGGGCAGGGGAAGGGTGGGGGGCTCTCAAGGGTGCCAGCTGCTACGCTGCGACGCGTCGCATCGTATTTTTATGAATGAACATTTTGCTACGCTAAATGTTGTTGTTAGTTTTTTGTTTTAAACAAAAGTCGACGCACAATTTAAATTCAATTTGTTTACCTGTTTCTATTTTGATTGGCTTTAGGGCTGCGTCGTCCTATGCGTCACGTTCGACCTGCGACAGATTTTGCGTTTGGGCTCTACTTGAAGCTGGTACGCTGCTTCCTCTTCCTCTTCGCTTAACTGTTTTTCTTTTATAATTTTTGGTGAAAATTTTCACCCGCTGCGCCCTTTGCCACTGTTTTATGCTGACTTTGGCCTTGCGAAATATGTTGACAGACAGATATATGTATAACTTCTGTTTTCTGTTTTCGGGCTATCTTCGACTTCGCTTTTAGGCTGCCCGAGACGCACAAACACAAGCGCACGCACGCACGCACACACACACACACACACACACTCACTCACACAATAAACACAGCTTCGTAAGCTGGATGAATCTATTTATTATTTTTTTTTAAATCGCACTTGTTTCTTGTGGATAAACAACAGAGGTTTTGCACACACGCACGACGAGTTTTTAATTGTTAATTGTTTGCTGGGGGGGGGACTTCTTATCAACAGATTTTGTTTACGCAGCGGTTGCAAAAAAACGTCGCCCGCTGCTGCACTTGACTACTTTCAACCACCGACTGGCCAGTGTGACCAGTGCGAGAAATGCGCCAAAATCTCTGCTCAACAAAAATGTACAAGTATTTAATGCAGCGTGACCGTATGCGCACAAAAATACCAAAACACCATAGCCCCGGCAATATACCATTTTGCCGGCTACTGGCAATTATTTAAAATTGAAATAAAAAAACGTATGCAGAATTTCTGTGACTTGCTACAAACTGTTTTTGGTTAATATATTTGTAAGGACAACACACAACGTACACACAAATTCGAACGGTGCACGTGACAATGAATAACACCTGATGCGGTTAACACGCCATGGCTTTTGACTCTTTTTAATAATTGAGTTATTTCCCTATTTCTCTACTCCTCCTTCAAGGGTACATCCCTTGTCGTTGTGGGCGTGTCGGCCACACTATTCCGTTCCCGGCGCGCCCGCTCCTTCAGCTGTGCCGTCTTCAACGTGGCCATCATTTGCGTTGAGTTATACAGCCAAAAGCCCTGCATTGAGAATGCAAAATGTATAAATAAAATCAATGCGCAATGCGCAAAAGACACGTATCCAACTCACAATCAGCAGCATGCAATTCAGCAAAATGGGAATGGAGAACACAGTCGAGATAAAGAGGCCGTTGCCATCGAAGTATTGCTGCTTGGAGAATGTTTTCCAATTCTGTGCCGCATATTCGTTGATGCTCTCCGAGAAATAAACAATAGACACTGCAATAATGAGAATATCAGAAAATGCATAAGAAAAATAAAATTTTAAGCGCGGTCAGAGTCCTTACATAGAATCAGGAACAGAAAAACTTGGAAATTTGTGTTGTTACGGGTGAGCAGGGCCGTGCTAGTGGTTAGCACGTGCAGTAAAATGAGTCCTATCAGCCACGGATCCTTCCAATCGATCTGAAAATGCGAATTGCCTGGGTCAACATATTTTATCCATAGCTTTTCTTTGCTGCACACTTACGCTTAATAGAAATGACCAGACGCCGGTTATTTCATTGACTTCGATTTGTCCGGCATGCATATTGCGATGCTTTTCAACAACTTTTATATGTAAGTTTTCCTTATAGAAAAAATCGCGGGAGCGGCAGAAAAATATCTCAGCAGGCAGCCACGCACAAAAAAGGTAAACAATAAATGTGTAAAAATTATCGTCGACTCAACGATACATCGATAGTTGGTGTGACCATCGCTAGCAAACAGCTGATGTAGCGATATGCATGAAATATCGCACGGCATATATCGGTGTGATGCAATGCGATTTCATACGTAAACAATGAACTTCAGACTGACCAAATATTGTGTATAAACCTATAGAGAAGAAAATTTGCAGCCCTGGTTGCGATTGGCCATACTGCTATCATGCAGCTTGAACGTCTCAACTTTGCTTTCACTGACTCAGTAGACTCCAACATTAACAAAATCTGAAAAATTCTCCACAAAGAATTTGTTAAATACAGTCAAAATTATAGTAAACATAAACCAAAGCATTATTTTTGTTGTTTTTCAACGCTAACGTGCGAGCAAATCAAATCAGGAATTTAGGAAACGTGCGACAAATATTATTAAGAAGGTGTCGTCGCAGTGACAAAACGGAAATTGAGCTAAAAACAAAGCGAGCGTCGTCTCTGTCTGTGCCGCTGCCTCTGCCTTATACCCGCCTCCTACCCCAACATCTACACCCGCGAGCGTAGCACACAAATTCGTACATCGTCGGAACAGTGTAGGAGAGAGTGTTGCACAGCGGAACAGGACAGTGTGGCAAAGTGCATCTAAGTGTTAACTAGCCTGGCGCATTTCATTTTCGGCTCGCTGAATGGCCGACTTTGGCTTGCGTTTTGTTTATTGTTATTGTTGTTAAACGATTGTTAATTGTGCTTTAGCCGTTCGAGCGAAAATTAAAAAACAGCAACAACGACTCGCAACGGCAACTGGCTCAAGGACACGCGGCGACTGCGCCACCGACGGCCACACAACAACAGCCGCAGCGCCCGCGCCAAACAGAAGCCCAAACGTCCCAGGAAACGCGTGCCGCCCAGGCGCCGGCGTCTTCACAGCGAACAGTTGCAATTAACGCCCTTTGACATGGCTGTCAAGCAGAACAACAACGAGCAGAACGAGATGGCGCCCGGCCAAGCTGGCGGCGGTGGCGGCGGCGGCTCAGCCGCCAATATGGGTGCAGGAGGTGCTGGAGCAGGAGCAGGTGGAGCTGCGTCTCCCAATGGCAAATCCCTAATGCCGGGCAACATTTCAGACGAAGGCGGTGGCGGCGGCGGCGGGCAGGCCAACGATGCTAGCAGCCAGACAACGTCTGGCAAATCCCAGACAAACGCTCGGGAACTGGGCGGAGCGAGCGGCACTGGAACTGGCAGCAGCAGCACCAACACCACCGACCGGCAGCACGATTTCAATGCGCTGCTCAACATAATGCAGGGCATCGATCCGGAGGATCAGAAGGCGTCGCGCATCTATAAGCTTGTCATCTACAATCTGGCCGGCATGCATGTGAGCAGCGCGCCGGCAGATCTGAAGCTGTTCAAGGAGAACATCACCAAAATCGGCCAGCTTCTGGCGGTGCCCAACAAGAAGCGCTATCTGATGATCTATCTGCGCTTCGTCTACCATCTGATCACACAGTCCGCGGAGCCGCCCTCGTGCGCCGTGGCCATTGTGTTCCACCTATTCAGTCCGGATCTGATCATTGAGGCGGTGCAATCGCTGCTCGATCTGAATGTCCAGGACGATAGCATACGGAAGACGGTCGGCTTGCTCTGCAAATGGATACATGTTTGCAATTTTTGCCAAAATCTCAATCTCTGGATTATGGCCCTGCTGCACGGACTGCGCGAACAGGAGAAATATCTGCTGCTCGATGAGATCGCGCTCGATAATATCGAGCATCTGTTCAGGCTCATGATCTTTCCCGCTTTGCGTCCCAAGGTGGCGCCCATTGTCTTTCACATGCTCTCCACTATCAATCAGACGCCCGAAATATTCCACAAGGTGAGTTTTTAACTTTGGAGCCTGCGAACGCCGGGTAATTAACTCTCTACTACAGATATTGCCAAGCATACCGCTGGTGATTGGCGCCATGAAGAGCAAGCCAAATAACCTGGATAACGCCAGCAGCGATGCGCGCAACTATATCCAAAAGCTGGTCGACTTGTTCAATGCGCTGATGATACGCTTCTATGACAACGATGAGCTCTATGCACCATTCAAGGCTACTCTGCAGATGTACGAGCCCTCTCAGAATTGCATGGCATTTGCCCGTGCGCTGTTCGAGAATGCGCTGCCACGGAATGCACGCGTCGGTCTGGTCAATCTGGGCAATACCTGCTACATGAACAGCGTGCTCCAGGCGCTGGCCATGACCAGCGAGTAAGTGTAGCCACAAGATTTACAAGTTAGAGGTCTGCATCGTTTTATCGAATAGTTGTTTGAGCTGTCGAGGTTCAAACAAATGATTGTTCCAACCTCCGAGCACAACTCGAATACTCCTTCGAGCTGTCGATGTTCGATGTTGCAACTGATTGATTCAGCTCAAACAAGTTCGAACTAACTGTGCTCGAACACAACCGGGTTTGAAGCGAGCTGGAGTTCCGCTCGACTCGATGCAGGGCTCTAATCTATAAGCATAACACACACTCAGTTCTTGTCATCCTCCCCCGCAGCTTTGTGCGGCAAATCCTGCTCATCGAGAGCGGTTCGATGTTGTTGCAGAAGGTGCAGCAGCAGATCGCGTTGATGCATCATTCGATGCGTTACGAGCTGACGCCGTTGCGGGTGCTGAAGGCCACACGTCCGCCGGGCTTTACGCCCGGCCTGCAGCAGGACAGCTCCGAGTTCCTAGGCTATTTGCTGGACCTGCTGCACGAGCACGAGATCAACAGCGGGGCGGCGCAGCACATGGACACGGACGTGGGACAGCCCAAAGAGGTCAAGACCAGCAGCGAGCCGGCGCTGCTGACGGATGAGATAGTGGCCGCCGGCGTTATACCCTATAATAGCAATGATCATGTGCACAATAGCAGGCCGAGTGCGCCGGCTATTGGCCCAGCCACGCCCACATCCATGCCCACCAACGCAGCGCCGAAGAAGCCATCGACCATAGACAAAACGTTCGCCGGCAAATTGTCAACGACATACAAATGCCTGAGCTGCGCCTGGGAGAGCCGCAACGAGGACAGCTTCCGCGAGCTGCAGCTATCGTTTCCGGACGACAAGGTCGACTGCGGCGCCACCAACTATTCGGTGCAGGATCTAATCGACTATTACTGCTCGCCGGAGAAGCTCGATGGGGACAATCAATACTTTTGTGCACGCTGCAAGAAACTGTGCGATGCGGAGCGTCGGATTGCCATTACACAGGCGCCGCGCAATCTAATCCTCACGTTGAAACAGTTCAAATACGATCAGAAATATCATTTTCGCACCAAGCTCATGCACAAGGTGTTCCACGATGAGAGCGTAAGTGTTGGAGTACTCCCAATTGAATCCGCATACAATGCCCAACATCTTGTTTCCAGGTGATTGTCAAGGTGTGCGCCAACGATTCGCTGCAGGAAACGTGCACCGTACACTACGATCTGTATGCGGGCGTCGTTCATGCCGGCTACAGCATGGACTCTGGGCATTATTTCACCTTTGCCGCCGATCAGTCCAAGAATTGGTTCAAGTTCAACGACAGCCTGGTGACCAATTCGAAGCCCCAGGAAATGCACAGTCTGACCTCACCGAACACACCCTACATTCTGTTCTATCAGATGTGCGGTCGGTCCACCGAAGCCACACCCGATGGACCCATGCATCCGATGGTGCCGGTGCCCCTGGTGCCGCCCCTCACGCTTGACGAGCTGCCGCGCGGTCTGCGCGATTATGTAAAAAACGATAATCGGGATTACAGCGAGGAGCTTAAGTTGCAGCGCTTCAAACGGAATGCCAAACGGAACACGATGAGCGGCAATGTTACCATGAATGGTCGCAATGGCTACGAGGGCGACGACGAGGACGACCATATGCCGC